CCCAGTGCTCCTACAGTCAGACAGGGAGAGATGGGGATTGTCAGAAGCCTCAAATAGGTGGAAGTTGAGGACTGACACCTGAGGGCCCTCTCTGACCACACACCCCCCCGCCCCCCGGAGAGCAAAAGGCAGGTGCTGTACACAGGGAAGTAACAACTTTAGGTGGCGTGGTCAGGGAGGGCATCTCAGAAGAGGTGACACATACCAGAACTGCAGAGGGGCCAGTACAGAAGCCACAGGAGAGCTCACTACTGCACCCATGTCCAGGCCAGGGCCAGGTCACAGGGTAGACCCTGGTATATGTTCTGGTTTGTTCTCTTCATTGTTGTGACAAAATACTCTGACCAATACCAACTTGGGGAGGAAAGGGTTTATTCAGCTTACATCTCCCAGGTCACAGTTCATCTGGGAGCCCAAGGTAGGAACTCAGGGCAGGAACCTGGAAGCAGGAGCTGGAGCACAGGCCACGGAGGAACGCTGCTTACTGCCTTGCTCCCCTGGCTCCTGCTCAGCCTGCTTTTTTATACAACACAGGCCCACCTGCCCAGGGGCGGCACCACCCACAGTGGGCTGGGCCCTCCCACATCACTCATCAAGGCCAGTCCACAGGCCAGTCCAATAGAGAAAATTCCCCAATTGAGGTTCCCTCAACCCAGGTGTGTTGATACTAAAGCTATCCAGCACAGTATATATTTGTTATTTTTGAGTTAATGCATGAACTAAGGACATGAATACATACTAGAAAAGCTGCTGTGGCATGAGCCTGTCAAAGAGGTCCTGACAGAGCCTGTGGGGTGGGATTCTCTCCAGCCTGTGCCTGGAGAGAGGAATCAGATGCTAGGGGAACAATGGCAGCAAGGGGCTGCAGAAAGTTAACAGCCTAGGTAGAGCAGAGAACCAAGCCATGATCTCCCGCCTCACTTTTTTCATCTGTAAAATGGGGCTGTAATTTGCCACCTCAGCCTTTCAAGTTGGCTGCAGGTGAGATCAAGCCGTGAAACACTGCATGCAGTGCAAGATCAGGGTCTGTATATGAACCCGATGATACCTTCCTGGACCCCTGAACCTACTAGCTTTATACTTAATTTGGTCATGTTCTGCTGCTTGGCCAAGTGGAAGGACAGCCACCTCAGCTCTGGCTGTCCCATCCACCAATGATTTCTAGACACACTTCCCTCATTCAGCCTGCACCAGAAACTGAATACAGGGCTGACAATGGGAGGGACACAGCAACTGGATCAGGGTAAGAAGCCCTGGAACACTGGCTCCTGTCCTTGGGAGGGGATATCTAATTTGTCACAGACACAGCAGGTGACAATACCCACCACTGTGCCTGGGAAACTTATACAGGTTTTCATACCGTTTTCTTGTGTCCTCATACTGAGGGTTTATCTCCATGTCACAGAAAGGGCCGTAGCTCCATGTCAGTAGCTTGCCAAAGTCACAGAGGCTGGGTTCCCACCAAGGCCTGGGACCTCCTCCACTTCTGCAGTGTGTATGGTGGGGCTGGGGAGTCGGGGAAATGGTCTGCACTGCTGCAGGCAGAGGTGGGAGTATCTTCTATTTAGGGAAAGGGACTGACAGAGAGCTCCACGGCTTCCTTATGAAAAAGCTGATCTGAGTAACCCACATATGAGTCTGAAAAAGGAACTTCCTCGGCTTCCAGCCCTAGCCTGGAGCACACTCAGCAAGGACATTTTCTTGGGGCCAGGGGCCCTGCAAGGATACTGACTCCAGCCTTGAGCTGGGAGGCTGGGGAGATGGCTCAGTGGGTAAAGTGTCATGCAATGTGAGAACCTGAGTACAAATCCCCAGTGTCCCTTTAAGAAGCTAGGCACAGCTACTTTGCCCCTATAACCCCAATGCTTCGGGGTGGGGCAGAGAAAGGATGGCTGGGGCTTGCTGGCCAGCCTAGCTCCAGGTTCAGTGAAAGACCCTTTCTGAAGGGAATAAGGTGGACACTGACAGCAGGATAGCTGACATCCTTCTTGGGGTGTTGGCTGGCAGGTGAGTTCAGGAGAGACTCAATGGTTAGACAAAAGGTTCAGGCTGAGGCTGCCCAACTGTGCGGCTAATGGACAGTGGAGCAGGCCACATTTGAGGCCTTTTCCACACTAGTCTGTTTCCTTCAGACCACACTAGTCCTGTCTTCTGGGACCACATTCTGCAAAAGCCATGCACCCTGCCTCAGAAAAGGCAGGCCCATGCTGCCTGGAGTACCAAACTCCACACTCCCCAGTAAATGGGCAAGTTTACGCTTTGGTTTGTGTCCAACACCTGGCAGATGACAAACCATGTCAGCTACAAAGGTAAACAGACAGAACCGTCGGTTCCCTGACAGACCCACCACATCAGAGAAAATGGCAAAGGAGGGAGTTTGAGGTACAGAACAAGAACCCAGGAACAGCAGCTAAAGGATGAAGGGCAGACAGTACTTCACAAACGTTTCCTCAACATCTGGAGATGGAAAAGCAGGCTCCAAATGCCTGTCTCCACCAGCTGGCAGTAGAGGCCCTGAGGTCAACTGGTCACAGCGATCAGAGGATTTCTGATGATGACAGGATTCAGAGGACCTGGACTCAGCTACCACTTTCCTGAGAGTTGCCAGCAGACCCTCTTCCCCACAGGCTTCACTTCTCCTAGTATGGTAAAACTGATCCTTTGTATTTCTCTAAATGCAAAGTGCAGGGGTTGGAGAGATGGCTCAGCAGTTAAAAGTACTGGCTGCTCTTCCAGAGGACCTAGGTTTGGTTCCTAGTACCCATATGGCAGCTAACAACTGTATCTTCAGTTCCAGAGAATATGATGCCATCTTCTGGCCTCCAAGGGCAATGCATGACACGAGTACACTGACATGCAGGCAAAACTTACTCATACATATAAAATTAAAATAAATAAATAAAAATTAAATGCAAATGGCAGAGGTCCATGGATTGGTGTTTCTATCCTCTAAACAACCCTATATCCGTCTATCAGCCCATTTAATAGATCAAAGAGGAAGCTGGACTGAAGGGGAAAGGGTCAATTAAAAAATTTATTTTACTGTGGGCTAGGGAGATGGTTCAGGGGATAAAGTACTTGCCTTGCAAGCGTGAGGACCAGAATCTGAATCCCCAGAATCCCCAGAAAAGCTAGGCAGGTGTGGCAGCAGCCTGTAATCCCAGCCCTCAGGAAGCAAAGACAGGATTCCCTGAACAAACTGGCTAGCTAGACTAGCCAGAATTCCAGAATTCTGGGTTCAGCGAGAGACCCTGTCTCAATAAAGTGATCAAGAATAACACCTGGTGTGAACTTTGGGTCTCCACATGCACCTGTGCATACAGGTGCACCCACACATACGAATACACATACACACCACACACATACATATGCAAAAATTGTTTTATACATTCTTTTGGAAAAGTAGGAATACTCAAAAGTCTAATATGCAAACAGATTATAGTCTCCCCCACACACAAAGGGGGGGGGCTCCCTTGGCTGAGCTTTGTGATCATTTCCACAGGCTCTTGAGAAACAAGGAGCCTTGAAGACAAGTCTGCCCATGGTTAAACCTGGACACTGGTGATGGGTACTGGGCTCCAGACAGAGGTTCCCCACTTTCCTTTGGGAGGGCTGGGAGCAGTGGCAGTAAGGGTGCAAGGGGCACTCTCCTCTCTAGGAGCCCTTCCTCCTTACCCTCAGACAGACAGTCCCTGTGTTCCTTTAATGGCCTAAGTGTCCAGGATTTCATGTTAGTGCCATACACCCATTTCAGGGAACCTTGAAGTGAGTCCTGGGGATGAAAGGTAGGAAAGACAAGCAACCAGGGGTCTCCTGAGCAGGCGGAAAGAGGAAAAGAGAGGTAAGAATCCTCTAGATCTGTCCAGATGGCCGCAGAGAACTGGGAGCCCCAGAACATAGACCCACTGCAGCCTCAACCAGGAAGTGGCGCCCATAGAGAAAAGGATGAATTGGCTTTGCATCTGGTCTGGTCTAAGATCTAAATTTCTTGACCAGTTCCTTTTCCTAACATTGCTCTAACATACGCACACAGGGCCAAATAAGTCAAAACCGGGACTTGATGTTGGGAACCAAGAATGTAAGTCTTCATCTTGCCACTGACCAGATCCTCTCTGAATCCTGTTTCCTCACCTGCTCTTCCGGGGTTGTTTCAGGCCTGGTGGGGCCTTTCCCACACATGTCCTTCACGCCTTGGGTGAGAGATACAGGTAGAAGGGCAATGCCAGCCGTCTGGGCTCTCTGCACAGCAGTTTAGGGAAGCTAAGACTTGTCAGTCGCCCTGGGAGCCACTCTAACCCTTACACTGACCGTACACTCCACTTTCCCACCCACCCAGGCCAGGGTCAAAATCACAGCCTCTGCGTGGGCGCGCGCATACGTCTGCACGGCGAGTTCATCAGTTCTGGACGGTCACAGCGGCGCGCTCTGAGAAACCCACACTCGCCAACCACCCGCCTCCGTTCGTGCACACCCAGACAGCTCCATTAGAGTAGGAGTACGGCCAGTCCCCACTTCGCGAACCCCAGCGGTGGTGCGAGGTGTAGGAACTCACCTTGTCTCCCGGCCAGCATCCCCCCACCCCGCCTTCAGGCCCAGCCACTGCAAGGCTCACCGGAATCCCGCCCCTCCTAAGACACGGCCCACTACAGCTGTGGCCCAGAGCCGCTCTCTTCCCCGCACTGCTGGGTCCCGCCCAGGAGCTTGACCCCTCCGGTCGGATTCCCCGGCACGCCCCGCCCTCGCTAGCGAGTCCCGTCCCAGCTGGGAGTTTGGTCCCCGCCAGGCCCGCCCCCTCCATCTAGGCTTGTCCGAGCTGGGCTCCGCCCACGAGCCCGGCCCAGCTCTTGAGCCTGGGCCCCGCCCAAGAGCTTGGCCCCAGGCAGGCTCCGCCCTCGAGCCCCGCCCTTGCGCAGGCCAGGCCCGGTCCCGCCCACGCTTCACTCCATTCTCAGGCCCCGCCCTACCCCGGGCCCCGCCCCCGCGCCTGCCCGGAGGATGTGAGCTCAATCCCACCTCCATGTTCCGGCTGCCTCCAGGAAGCGTCCGCTGGAGGTGTCCGCCCGCTCACAGCCAACGGACCGCTGTCTGCGGAATCCGCAGTGCGCTAGGCCCCTTCCGAAGCCGCACGCAAGGGGACGCCTGCCTCGTGAGTACTGAATGAAGGCAGGCGGCGTGGCCGCTCACCCAGGCCTGGGCTGCGGGGCAAGGACAGCGCCCCCGGCGTAGGCGCCGCGCAGTTTCTGCGCTCGCTGCGCCCCCGGCTCACGTCCTGCCCGACGACGTGACCGCGTGCACGTGTTCTGGTCTCCAGGTGCTGCCGCCAGAACTCTCCTCCCAGCGCCCCAGGCCAATGCAGGTCTAGATCCGGGCTCCGCCGCCTCCTCGGCGTGCGGAGCAGGCCCACGCAACCTTCGCCATGAACCCCAGGGGCCTGTTCCAGGACTTCAACCCCAGTAAGTTCCTCATCTATGCCTGCCTGTTGCTCTTCTCTGTCCTGCTGCCCCTGCGCCTGGACCGCATCATCCAGTGGAGCTACTGGGCGGTCTTCGCCCCAATCTGGCTGTGGAAGCTCCTAGTCGTCGTGGGCGCCTCCGTGGGTGCGGGCGTTTGGGCACGTAACCCTCGCTACCGCACTGAGGGAGAAGCCTGTGTGGAGTTCAAAGCCATGCTGATCGCCGTGGGCATCCACCTGCTGCTGCTCATGTTTGAGATCCTGGTCTGCGACAGGGTGGAGAGAGGGACCCATTTCTGGCTGCTGGTCTTCATGCCACTCTTCTTCGTTTCCCCGGTGTCCGTGGCTGCCTGTGTCTGGGGCTTCCGACATGATAGGTCGCTGGAGCTGGAGATCTTGTGCTCTGTCAACATTTTGCAGTTCATCTTCATCGCTCTGAGACTGGATAGGATCATCCACTGGCCTTGGCTAGTGGTGTTCGTACCCCTGTGGATCCTCATGTCTTTCCTCTGCCTGGTGGTTCTCTATTACATCGTGTGGTCCCTCCTGTTCCTGCGGTCCCTGGATGTGGTTGCTGAGCAGAGAAGAACACATGTGTCTATGGCCATCAGCTGGATCACGATTGTCGTACCACTCCTCACTTTCGAGGTCCTGCTGGTTCACAGATTGGATGGCCACAATACATTCTCTTACATTTCCATATTTGTTCCCGTTTGGCTCTCCTTGCTGACTTTGATGGCGACCACGTTTAGGCGGAAAGGGGGCAATCATTGGTGGTTTGGTATTCGCAGGGATTTCTGTCAGTTTCTACTTGAAGTCTTCCCATTTTTAAGAGAATATGGGAATATCTCTTACGATCTCCATCACGAAGATAGTGAAGATGCCGAGGAAGCATCGGTTCCAGAAGCTCCGAAGATTGCTCCAATGTTTGGAAAAAAGACCAGAGTAGTTATAACACAGAGCCCTGGAAAATACGTTCCTCCACCTCCCAAGTTAAATATTGATATGCCAGACTAAACTCTTCCAGGCAGAGCCTTGTAGTGAAATAGAAATCATATACATGTATAAATTCCACCTTGCTTTTTTCATCCAGCCCTGGAATTGGAACCTGAGTCCTCCTTATTTCACAGCTTATTTGAGATGGAAGCCTCTTGGAGTGGTCAGTGTGTACCACAGACAGCGAAAGGAGGGAGGTTTATGGGGCGGGGGGCGGTGCGCAAGTCCATACGTTGTGTGAGAGAATTCCTCCTTTCCAGGTTGGTGTCTTGAGTTAACTGAGGGCAGTAAATCGAATTGTTTTTAGGCCTTCACAAGGCCTCAAAACTACACCGCTGTTTGTTTTTAAGTGCTACTATGCCTACCAAAAGTATTAAGTATTTTTATATGCTGCTAGTTCTCAAATTGTATTTTAGATTGTGCCCATTGTGACATAAGGGCAAATGTACCAAATTCTCTCCCAGCACTAGTTTATAAACCTCATAGTTGGTATTTCTAGTGTTCTTACTGTTCAGATAGTTTTTTTTTCCCCTTTGGGCTTTTCTGATACTGGTCTTTAATATTCTAATAGATGAATTTTTCTAATGGAGTGAATGCATATATTAGTATTTATATAAATATTTTAGCAGTGTTATCTATGTTGAACTGTAGTTTTTGGCAGTACAAATGTATTATGTTAAAGTATTTTTTAAAGTTAATATGTGAAGATACATGTTTATTGCAAATACTGGTAAAGACTGCATAAAAGTAATATATCTGTGTGGGACCCTGTCAAAATACTAGGGAGGCAGGTGATCAGAGCACTGCACAGTTTGAGTGGGTGTCTTAATGTCCCTAGAGGGTGGAGCTATAACCCTTTAGGAAGAGATGGTGCACTCCAGTGTGGTACAAAGCCATAAACTAAAACTCATTTACCACCTCGGCCTTTTCCCCACAGGTAGCACTGTCTTTTGAGGAACAACAAAAATAAGCAACAAGTGGTTTGGCCATGTCTAAGGATCATAGGATAGTAGTCTGTCATAATATAAATGTCTCTCATTGGGAAGCTGGGGAGTAACCTTAACCAGAAATGGCTAGCAATTGTAAGCGTCAACCTTTCTGCCCGTCACTGACAAGGGAACAAGGTTCAGGACATTTTTAAAGATGAGTACTGTGTTTCTTCATGTGCTGGAAGCACCCCAGGGAATCATAAAGTAAAAGCTAGACCTTTTGACCTTCTGAGTGGGAAGAAAGAAATATGTGGAAATGGAAGTTAAAATAAAAAGGAGTGCTGATGAAACTGAGCAGAAGGCTGGAGGGATCTTTTTACTACTTTAAAAAAAAAAAAAATTAGCTACATTGGGATCCATGACTTGACTATATAACCATCCCCTGTGTCCTGACCCTGAGGCAGTACACATTGCATTTGAAGAAAAAGATATCCCTAGGGCCTGGAAGATGGCTCAGGCAGTAGTGTGTGCTGTGCAAGAATGAGGACCTGTGCTTGAATTCCCAAACCCACATAAAAACCAGGTTGATGGTGTGTGTTTGAAAGGCCAGCAGTGGGGGAATCCCAGGGGCTTTCTGGCCAGCCAGTCTAGCTAAAAGAGTGAGCTCCAGGTTCAGTGAAAAAACCTGTCTCAAAAAATAAGATGAAGGGCTGGTGAGATGGCTCAGCAGGTCAAGGTGCCAAAGGTGCCTTTTACCAAACCTGATAACCTACCATGGTATCTGGGACTCACATGGTGGAGATTGACTTCCAAGTTGTCTGTGCTCCACACAGAGAGTGAAAAAAAGGTGGGAGTCATAAAGGAAGACACCCAATGTTGACCTCTTCTGGCCTACTGGCCTACACACACACACGCTCACACTGCACAGGCAAGTGCACCCTTATATATGCATATACCACACATGCCCAAAAGATAAATTCACTATTTTAGCATATTCAGTGTTCTTAACATCCAGAAACATGCTAGCTACAATAAAAGGCAGTTCTGGGGATCTGAGGGCTTGCAAGGCAGTTCTGTACCAGCTAGCAGAATGTGAGAAACAGTCCCAAGCACAAGAGTGCTTCCTAAACAGGGATTCGTTGAGCCATGTCTTTCTCAACAAATCTTTACTGAGGGACCTGTGCCAAACCAGGCGTGGGGATACTGGAGGGGTTTAGATGTGGCCCCATACTGCTGGGAAGCCAGGCCTCATGACACTGACAAGATGTGCTCATAACAGCAGGTACCTGTGAGAGGAGCAAGCTGAGGCCAGATGGAAAAAGCATGGAAGAATGCTGCTGGCCCTCCGGTGAATCTCACCTGGTATAAATAATAGTATATGGGAATAAGTCCATCTACAGCCATCTTAGGTCTTGCCCACAAGGGCTGTTTGGGAGCAGTGTCTGAAGTGTGGGAGCAAGCATCCCACCCAGATCAGCTGTCCCTCAGGCTTGTCCCTCTTGCCTCAAGACCATTAGGTAGGTAGAGTGTGAGTGGGAGATTGTAGTCAGTTTGATATATGAAGCGGATGAGGTCCAGCTGTACCCGAGGGCAATTGCTACAGAGCACAGTGATTCCACAGGTTAGCATTTGTCAGTTCTGTCACAATGGCTTCTGCTCAACAACTTCCAGACTGGGGAGGTGGCTCAATAAGGTGCTTGTGCAAGCATGAGGACCTGACTTTGATTCCCAGAGTCTACATAAAAAGCCAGGTGTGGTGGCCTGTGCTTATAATCCCAGCCACCCTAGCCAAATTGGCAAGCCCTAGGCCAATGAGAGATGCTATCTCAAAAAAAAAAAAAAAAACAAAAAAACACTACCACCACCAAAAATCCAAGGTGAAATTTTTTTAAATAACAATATTCTACTTTTTATTTTATGTGTATGAGTGTTTTGCCTGCATGTGTGTAAGTGCACAGAAGAGGGCGTCAGATCCCCTGTAACTGGAGTTACAAACAGTTGTTAGCTGCCATGTAGATGCAGGGTGTTGAAAGCCAATGCTCTTAACTGCTGAGCCATTTCCCAGCCTCAAAAAAATTTTTTTTATTTGTGATTTTTTTAATTTATGTATATGCCTATATTACCTGCATGTAGGTAAGTTGGATCCCCTGGGACTGGAGTTTCAGACAGTTGTTAGCTGCCATGTGGATGCTAGGATTCGAACCTGGGTCTTCTGCAAGAACAGCCAATGTTCTTAATGCTGAGCCATCTCTCCAGCCCTCAGAAAAATATTTTTTTTAAAAAGGCCAGTGAAGCTGGTGTGGTGGAACATGCTGTTAGTCCCAGCACTCAAGAGGCAGAAGCAGGTGGTTCTCTGTGCTTTTGAGACCAGCCTGGTCTACATAGCAAGGTTCAGGCTGGCCAAGGGTACATAGTGAGACCTTGTCTCCAAAACAAAAATAAAGGGCTGGGGTGATGGCTCAACAGGTAAGAGTGCTTGTCTGCCAACCTGGTGACCCAAGTTGGATCCCTTCATCCCATGGCAGAGGGAAGAACTGACTCATGAGGTGTTCCCTGACCTCCACAGGGCGCTTTTACATGCCTGCTCGTATGCGCTCAGTTCATATCATACAAACATAATAAAAAAAAAAATTTTTAAAGGTAGGTGGCTCCTGAAACGACCCGGGATGCCTCTGTATGCACACCCTTACACACATACTTGTACATATGAACACACACACACACATACGCAAAATCTGAATGGCTTCTAACTACACATTCCTTTTCAGAGCTGTAAGTTGGCTGTGGGGTTACACTCCAGACTAGGATCTGATCCATGTCTTCTCTGTAATGTTTCCTGTTCAGGATGCCAGGCTGAAGGAGCAGTGACCCTTGGGCTTTGCCCTTTATGGCAGAAGCAAGGGGACCAAGCCAAACGCTGTAAGCACAGACAGTTCCTGCTCACATGTGACAGGTTCCCAGTCCACTCAATTCCAGTGTCCAGAGTACATGGCCAAGCCCGTTAGAAGTCTATGTCCAAGGAACAGCAATACAATTTGCACAAATGGGACAGAGGGACAAACTGTTTCAGCCAGTGGTAGCTGCAGCTGGTGCCAAGGTCTAGGCTGGCCCTCTGATGAGCTGAAGTTCTACACGCCTATAAACCTGCTCTTCCCCTAAGCTTCACCTGTGGGCTACCACAGAGACCTCCTGGGATCTCCAGACCCAGGGGAGCCCAAATGCTTCCATTTCCCCACCTGTGAGTTCTGCCCTGCCCACACCTGGGGCCGCCGCTATCCTCTCTACATCAGACACTGTCACCCTTACACCTCTGTGTCCCTACCAGTGGTCCTTTCATCCCAACAGCATCAAAAAGCCAATGTCATCAGTACACTGGGTCCTGCTTAGGCCTTAGTGCAGGCATGTGGCTCAACCCTAGATGTCCCCTCCTATCTCAAGCTACCCATGATGCTTCCCTCAGGGATGACTCTGGTGGGTGTTCACATGTCCAGGGGGTACTCAGGTCAAAGGCACAGGAAAGTGATGGCTGGGCTGGGCACTTTGACAGAGGAAGAGAGGTATACTAGAAGTCCTCAGTCCTCAAAAGCCCTCTGCTGCCTGGGACTTGGAGGGGCCAACTGACTTCCTGTTGCTTCTCCAAGCCACCCTCCCTGCTTGGGAAGGCATGTCAATCCTGGGTGGGGGTCCAGCAGCAAGCAGCAGCACTTGGGGAAAGCGAGTCTTCACTGTAGAAACAGGACATCATTCAAAAGTCTATGATGGTTAATATTGTCAACTTGATGGGACCTAGAATCCAAGAAGGCCAGCATCTAGGCTTATTGGTGAAAGATTATCTTGATTGAGTTAAATGAAGTGGGAAGATCCACTCTGATACAATGTTTGAAATGCAGGAGAGCTGTAAGTCTCATTAGGGAAGCAATAAAACTACAAATCCCTTAAAGTGGCCAACTGGCCTTAAATTAGCATTAGATAAGGCTTTGCTCAAGCCTTATCAACTGGTCACTCCCAGGACTGAAGGAGACTGTGGAACCAGCCTATCTTCTTTAGTGTCTGAGATTACTTGCCTGCCCCACCTGAGAAAATAATCTTGGGAGGAGGATCTTCAATCACCCAAGGACTCCAGACCCTGGCACCTAGTAAATTCCTGCAGCTGTGCTTAGTAAAATTCATATATAAGCCCAACTTCCTTCCCCTTAGTTGCAGATGCCTTCTTCCAGTGGGAAGGTTTCTGCCCTTTGCTGTGATACCTTGAATAAAGGACACATTCCTTGCCTGAGGCAGATGTGGTTCGGGCTCTTATTTCTAAACTTTCCATTTTCTGCTCTTCTTAATCTAACACACTCTAAATGTGGGCAACACATGAACTGGGGTCCTGAAATGAATGAAAAGGAGAAAGCAAGCTGAGCACTAGCATTCATCTCTCTGCTTCCTGACTGGAGGTGACCAGCTGCTTCATGCTTCTGCCGCCATGCCTTTCCCACCTCAATGGACTATACCCAGGAAATAAGAACTAAAACAAACCCTTCCCCACTTAAGTCGTATCTTGTTGGGTATTTTGTCACAGCTACGGGAAGAACAATACAGTGCCTCAGTCTGCAAAGTTCTGGTCTCTTCTTTGTCTTCTCTGACTTTTGAGATAGTCATACTGCTCAGGCTAGTCTTGAACTCACTATGTAGCCAAGGATGACCCTGAACTCTTGATCCTCTCACCTGTACCTTCTGAGTGCTGGGATTCCAGTCATGCACCAGCACATTCAGTTTATGTGGTGCTGGGGATGGAACCCAGGGCTTTGGACATAATAGGTTGAGCACTCTACCAGCCGTTATGTGATTTGTTTCCTCTGGGATAAAACCTTCCATCTTGTCAGAAAGGTCCCAGAGACACAGGATGTTCCAAAGGGAGAGGAAACATTTCTTTTTGAAGGGAAGTTCCTTAAGCCCAGGAAGTAACTCAAAGGCTTCAGGAAGCCCCTAAAACTGACCAGATATACTAGGTCCCTCCCTCCCCAGCATATATACAGCAAGCAGCAAAGACGTCTGAGAGACACTCAGACAAGCTGAGCTGCTGGAAATGGCAGAAACCTGCTGAGCTGCTTGAAGAGACACTCTCCAGCCCCTGCAAGTTGTGCAATGAGTGTCAGGTTTCCAACTTTCCTGAGCCATCACCCATAGTGCTGCAGTCTTTTGGTGATACCAAAAGTCATTTCTGCTCCTGTAAGAAACCTCTCTAAAACTCACTGGGTCACCAAGTTGGAATTTGGTGGTATCCTTTCTTTGCTTTGTTACTGGTTCCCTATCTGGGGAAAGCAGACAGTTTCTTCACCTCTCCCCAGGGATAGTGCCATATAATACCA